CCTATCATGATAGTTGTCAGTTCTTACACTTTAAGTTATCAACGACTGCTTTTTTAGTTGTCAATGCAAATTTTAAAAAAATAATAAGGACAATTTGGTAATTAAATAAATAAAATGTATTGCAAAAAAGTTTCTTAGGACTTCAAAATAATTTCATAATTTTAAAGGACTTTTTATATTTAATTTCCTTATGTGGAATCTAATTATAATTTTCTGAAAAGGAAAAAAGGACAAAAATTGTAATTATTATTCGAACTGAAAGGGTGGGCTAAATCGGAGACTATGGTTTTGACCAAAAAAAAGAAGAGAGAGACTATGGAGTGTTGGAGACTATGATTCCTGATGTGACGTGAGAAGGAGAGGAGGGCAGGGGCATAAGGGTGCTGCACAGAGTGAAGTACTAGACTGATTGGGGGTAGAAGAGAAGGTAAAAAAATTTTAGTCTCTAATTCTCTATTCACTCCTTTTGGGGCACAATCGGTTATATGGTTATAACCCAATGTTTTTTTTTTTTCAAAGACACCAACCCAATGTTAAAACTAAAATAACTTAAAATAAAAATTGAAGACAAACCAAACATCAAAATAATCAAATTAAAAAACCAAATTTAAGTTCAGTTTGGTTCAATTTTCAGTTTCGGTTCGGTCTACTCATTTTTAGTTTTAGATTCTCTATCTTACTACCAGACGCTTCACTTGTTGTCCTCTCACCTTTTGTTCTTAGTGCTCGCTGCTCATCATCTTCTCGGCTTGGTGCTCGCTGGCTTCTCTGCTCGGTGCTTGCCGTCTCAAATTTCTCCTTCCTCCCTCTTTAGTCCTCAATCAGTGAGTCCTCAGCCTCTACTCTCTCTTTTTGTCAGATTAATTTAGTGGATTTTTAAACTAAAACTTGATCTGTTTCATTTAGTCAAATTTTGTGTATATCATTTGTTTTTGTTCCTTGTTGTAACCCTCATTGTTCTCGTTACTCTCATCACTTGTCCTTAGAATGCATTGCTTAATTTTTCCGAATGTTATGGCTTCATAGACATGGCGCTCAAGCTGTTCGATGAAATGCCACAGAAAGACTTTCTTGGTCCTCTATGATTTCTTGCCTTGTGAAGAATGATTTTCTTTTCGAAACTTTAGTCCGTTTTCAGCAAATGCAATCAAAGGAGGATGTCAAACTGGATGGGGTTATTATGCTAAGTGTTATATCTATGATTCTATCCTCGGTGCATTAGAATTGTGGATTTGGGTTCATGCAGTAATTGCCAGGAGTGGGTTGCCTCTAATAGTTTCATTGGGTACCTCTCTTATTGACATGTATTCAAGATGTGGGTACATTGATCGTTCGGTTAAAATTTTTAATGAAATGCTTGTTAAAAATGTTGTTTTTGACTAGATTGGCAGCGCATGGCTATGGTAGAGAGGCTTTGAATACATTTTATGAGATGAAAAATTATCATTTTAAGCTTGATAATGTTGCATTTATTGGTGCTTTACTGGCTTGTAGTCATAGTGGTCTTGTGAAGGAAGGCTGGAAGATTTTTATGACGGATATGAAGTCGATGAAGCTAGGGACTATTTTACTCCAATGATAGATAAATATGAGATCAAACCGTCATTAAAACACTATACTTGCATGATTAAAGTGCTAGGCCAAGCTGGACTATTATAATAGGCAGAAGAACTAGTAAAGGGCATGCCAATAAAGGAATATACTGCTACGTGGGGCTCAAGCGTGGGAATCTCGAGATATACTCTTGGGTAGCTAGGTGGCTAACAACTTATATATAGTGATTATAGTAATATATTCATATAGTTCTACTATGAATACATAGTTAAATTTTCTTCGTTTTGGAGTCATCTGCAACATTTATTTTCAGTATGAGTTGAAATGATGCATGTTTCTCCAGATCAACTTAATTCTTTACGTAGCACTATATTGTTTAATGGAACGTCATTAGTTCATTTTTTCTATGCAGGATTTTCTCTTGTTACTTTTAAGGAGTTGAGTTAATGTTATATTCATATAAAGGAGCTATTCTTTGCACCGCACACAGATGTTCCATTTCCAAAAACAGAGCTCCTTGTCTTGCATCGCCGCGTGTTGGGAAGATTTGAGTTATAGCAATTTATAATAGTGGGGGTCGACCTGATTTGTTGTTTATGGAATGGGAGAATATGGATCCAGCATAGGCGGAGGATTTAACAGTAAACACAAATTCAGAAATTCAAAGTTTGATGGGAAACATAAATGTAGAAAGTACAAGTTATAATTTGGACAACTTCTCAAGACTATCGGATCAAAGCATAGTAGAAATTTCAGCATGATATGACGGACTCATCACAATTCTATGAATTATATGTTAATTGATATGATTAGATGTTATTTTTGGGACTTTGTTTAAAACAATGTCCATTTAAATTTTAACCATGTTAATTTTTATTTGTAGTAAATCATTTTTGTGTTATTTATTGGTTATTCTATTTGATTTTTTATTTAATTAGTTTTTTTACTAGCTTTATCAGATTAGTTTACATTATAAGAATTCACTTTACATTTTTAAGTTGATTTTAAAAAGAATTTTTAAAATTAATCATCCAAACAAATTTTTATATTTTATTGTTTTTAAAATCAATTTTTAAAAATAATCTTCCAAACATGTTCTTTTGGTTTTTTTTCCCCTCAAAATTTGTTTTAAAAAACAGTTTTAGAAAAAAAAAAAAAAAAAAAACATAAGCAAACCAGCCCATAATTTTGAGAAGAAAATCTGTTTGATGAGTATGCATCAAAACTTGCTCTGCGTTCCAAACACGCCCTTGACATTTCACCAAGCCCTTGAACCTTGAGAGCAAGACTGAGAGAACAAATAGAAATGGGCTCAAGTTATGGTCTACATCCTTTTTGCGTAATCAACTATTGGGCCGGCCCACTAGAAATTTAAAACAGTAACCATCTTCTGGGCTAGATCTTTAGCCCAACTCAACATCTAAGGAATCATGACCCAAATTATTGGACCTTGGTTGTCCCTTTTTATTTGGGATGCAAGGGCCTTTAGTTGTTATTGTCACGCTTTTGATTTACTTTTGGGCGGCAGCGCCATATCCGCCACTGACACGCAGTAAATGGCTATCCCCGATGAGCAAGTGACCCTTTTCAGATACAATCATGAGAAATTGCAGTACAGTACCTAGTGTGGGTGACAAGCATCTCCGTTCTTCAATAGCTTAGATGTTTCTTTTCGTTTAAAAAACAGTGGAACTTATTTGGAAAAAAATTGTTAAAAATACTTATTTTAAAGTTTTATTGATTAAAACTAATTGAATTTGAGCCGATACAATTTAATTTCGGTCGATGCAATTTTTTTCCAATTGTGCATGGCTAGCTAAAATAAAAGTTATTTACACATAACTGAGGATATATTACATACAACTGAAGCCAAAGTTGCATTATTTAAAAAGGTTAAAGTGTATTAGGTAGTCCGAAATATTTTCTCTGACCCATCCAGCATTTTAAAATATTTTATGATACATATTCAACATCTTAAAATATTTTTTTTTGATACTGTTTTTCTTAAAATATCATTATTAATCAACTATATTGGCTAAAACTACAATTATTACAAGGATTATTTTTTTTAAAAAAAGGATAAACATAAGAACAAAGTAAATGAGAGTTTATATTTAAAATAAAAATAAAATAAACTTTTGTATTAAGTACTGGAACTAGTATATGAGAAGCCACTGATAGCAACACAAAGAGGCATGTGAATATAACTTGAAGAAGTTATTGTAATAATTAAGAAGGATAGAGAAGGATAAGCAGTCATGAGTGAAACAGCATATTTGCTTGCCTTTGAAGGCAAAAAGAGTCAAAAACCGTGCCCCCCATGTGTGTGGCCTTGGGACTGAGAAGCTTCAACACCAAAAAAAAAAAAAAAGAATTACATAGGCAAATACAAAAAGAAAAAAAAAACACACACACACAGGCACAAGAGCTACACAGAAGAATTGAAGTTTTTCAAAGAGGCTGACTGTTCTCTGAGCTTTGACGTTTTCCCCAAGTGTCTGATTTGGCCTCTTGGGACCATTCAGATGGGGATTTGAGATCAGTTGTAGATTACTGTTTATTCCTTTGAGTATCATTGCAGTGGGAGTTTCCAAAGTCAAACGCTCCCCCAACACACACATCCCAGCATTGAGGAGTATTTAGATAGAATCAAAATCATGATTTTAAAAGTATTTTTACGGTATATGAAGTAAATATATAGATGGGTTTATCTCTAATTGTAAAAAAATACTTTTAGGAACACTTCTGATGCTACCCAAACACCTCCTTATTGTTTTTGGTAAATGTTAATTTTTTTAAAGTCTTAAGATAAATTTGTACTTAAAAAAAATTTAAATGTACAATGTTCTTGAGTGAAAATTTCTTAAACAAATTTATATCTTAACTGTACATCTTAATTTAGTTATCAGTGCCAAAAGAGTAATAATTTAATGGGTAAATGTGTACTTAGCACATGGAATAGTTTTTCAGTATATCTAGTATTTTAAAATATTTTTTCAGGTATATTTAAAATATTAAAACATTTTGTGATATATCATTTTAAAGTATTTTTTAAATACATTTAACATCTTAAAATATTTTTTAATATAATTTTACTCTTAACAATTTAAAATATTAGATACAAAAAAAAATTTAAAAGTACTCAACCCGCCTGAAAAAGTATTGCTGCATAGGATATTTTAAAGTGTTTAAAATACAGTCAAGATGACGCTTTATTAACCTATGCACATTTTGAGGTGGGAGGGAGTGAGATGAAAAGTGGCCACATGGATCATTCATAGGATTCGGGTTTGACCCAATGACTATTCACATGCGTCACACCCATATCGTAAAAAAGAAGCCTCTCTCTCTCTCTCTCTCTCCCCCTTTCTCTCTAAATTAATGTGTTTGTGCCACGAAAATGGAAGCTTTTACTTTCATTGCATGCTTCTCTCTCTCTCTCTCTCTCTGTCATTTATGCTTTTCTCACAGTCTCTCGTCTTCCTGGTTCCCACCAACACGCACTCCTGACTTTCCTCCATTAATGGCTTCTCCCCTCCCAATGTTCCTTCCATTTTCTTATTCCTTCTCTCGGCACTCCTTCCGCCTCTAATCCTCTCTCCCTCTCTCTCCCCTTTTTTGTTTTTTTAATTCTTTGAATTCTATTCCATTACTCTCTCATCCCCTTCTTCTCCATCCTTCTCTTTGCCACTCATAACTCCACAACCACCTCCTCATTCTTCTTATTTCACTCTTACTGTTCATTCTGTGTTTTCTGCTTCCTTCATGACAACTCCTTGAAACTGTAAGCCGGGGAAAAAGTGGAAAGTGAATTTGCTGTTCAAATTGCTTTACTTTGCTCTCCTTCTCTCCCCCTTTTGTTTATATTCACTGAGATTTGTATTCTTTTTAACTTCTCCCGTCTCTCGCTTGTCCTTTCTACCTCCTTCGTGCTTGCCAGAAATCTCGTCTCTTTGTGATGTCAAGTTCATATGCTATGCTTTCTTCTGCACCATTTCTGCGTTTTTGTGTCTGAATATCTCTCTCTGAAAATGCATTTGGGCTATTTCCTGTTTCTTCTTTTTGCTCCAATCCTGGTCATCTCTACCGACCCGGGGTTCACCGATGATGTCTTGGGGTTGATTGCGTTCAAAGAGGGTCTAAAAGACCCGAAAGCTGTGCTCTCTAGTTGGAACGAAGATGATGAAAGTCCCTGTAATTGGGTCGGGGTCAAATGCGACCCGACGACCCGTAGGGTCTCTGCTTTAGTCCTTGACGGGTTTTCTCTTTCCGGGCATATTGATCGAGGGTTGATGAGATTGCAGTTCCTGCAAGTTCTATCACTTTCTAGAAATAACTTCACAGGGAGCATCATCCCTGATCTTCCTCGCCTATGGAGCTTGCAACTCGTTGATTTGAGCGAGAACAATCTCTCTGGACCAATCCCACAAGAATTTTTCCAGCAATGTGGGTCTTTAAGAGCAGTTTCGTTTGCCAGAAACAATCTTTCCGGTAAAATTCCTGATTCTCTGAGCTCTTGCTCAATGTTAGCTACTGTTAACTTCTCCCAGAATCAACTTTCTGGAGAATTACCCTCTGGGATATGGTACTTGAGGGGATTACAGTCACTTGATCTGTCCAATAACTTGCTAGAAGGAGAGATTCCTGAGGGAATTGAGAACCTGAATGATTTGAGAGAGTTAAGTCTGCAGAAGAATCGATTAATCGGTAGGCTTCCTGAGGGTATTGGAGGTTGCTTGCTCTTGAAATTACTTGATTTCAGTGATAATTTTCTCTCTGGGAGACTTCCTGACTCATTGCAGAAACTCAGCTCATGCACAACTCTCAGTTTACAGGGGAATTCATTCGCAGGAGGCATCCCTGACTGGATTGGAGAGTTGAAAAATCTGGAGATATTGGACCTTTCTGCAAATGCATTCTCAGATTGGATTCCTAAATCAATAGGAAATCTTGATTCCCTGAACAAATTAAATCTATCAAGGAATCAACTTACAGGAAACTTGCCTGACTCAATGAGCAGCTGCATTAAGCTCTTGGCTCTTGACATGAGCCACAATCAGTTGTCAGGCCACATTCCTTCGTGGATTTTTAAGATGGGTTTAAAAAGTATTTCACTTTCATGGAACAACTTCACTAAGGGCAATATTCCTTCGCTTTCATCCACACCAACGTCTTATTATGGCCTCCAGGTTTTGGATTTGTCATCCAATGCATTTTCTGGTGGTCTTCCATCTAGCATTGGGGGTCTCAGTAGCTTGCAAGTCTTAAACATGTCCACCAATCATATCTCTGGTGCTATTCCAGTGAGTATAGGAGAGCTTAAATCTTTGTTCATTCTTGACCTAAGTGGCAACAAGATTAATGGAAGCATTCCTTCTGAAATAGAAGGGTTGATGTCATTGAGTGAACTGAGACTGCAGAAGAATTTCCTGAGTGGAAGAATTCCAACTCAAATTGATAAGTGTTCATCCCTGACAGCTCTGTAAGCTCTCCGCCATGACTCCTGTTCTCCTTTCTTTGCTTATATTATATACAATTGTGAAATCGAAATTTCAATTTGAAGAGTCTAATTTCTGTTTGCTGATTTGAATTGAATGGTGCAGGAATCTTTCTCACAACAAGCTTACTGGTTCAATCCCTTCAGCCATAGCAAACTTATCCAATCTTCAACACATAGACTTGTCATGGAATGAACTCTCTGGAAGCTTACCAAAGGAGCTGACAAATCTTTCCCACCTTTTTTCCTTTAATGTTTCCTACAACCACCTTCACGGTGAGCTACCAGTGGGGGGCTTCTTCAATACTATCTCTCCCTCATCTGTCTCTGCCAATCCATTGTTATGTGGTTCCATTGTTAATCACTCCTGCCCATCTGTTCATCCTAAACCAATTGTCCTTAACCCAAACTCTTCTGGCTCAAATTCTGGCCCTTCCTCTCAAAACCGTCGTCATAAGAAGGTCATTCTCAGTATCTCTGCCCTTATTGCTATTGGAGCTGCTGCTCTTATCACCATTGGTGTGGTGGCTGTTACACTGCTAAATATGCATGCACGTCACTCAATGTCACGTTCTGCTGCGCCATTTGCATTATCCGGTGGTGAAGAGTATAGTTGTTCGCCCCAAAAAGATCCAAACTATGGCAAACTTGTGATGTTTACTGGAGAAGCTGAATTTGCTGATGGGGCTCATAATCTTCTCAATAAAGACAATGAGATTGGTCGTGGCGGATTTGGAGTTGTTTATCGCACTATTCTTCGAGATGGGCGTTCTGTTGCAATCAAGAAGCTTACTGTCTCTAGTCTGGTCAAATCCCAAGAGGACTTTGAGAGGGAAGTGAAAACACTTGGGAAGATGAGGCACCAGAATCTAGTGGCACTTGAAGGTTACTACTGGACTTCATCCTTGCAGCTTCTGATCTATGAGTACCTATCCAGAGGAAGTTTACATAAGCTGCTACATGATGAAAATACGAAAGACATGCTGTCGTGGCGACAAAGGTTCAAGATTATGCTCGGCATGGCAAAAGGGTTAGCCCATTTGCACCAAATGAACATAATTCACTACAATCTGAAATCAACAAATGTTCTAATTGACTGCTCTGGTGAGCCAAAAATAGGAGATTATGGCTTGGTGAGGCTATTACCAATGCTAGACCATTGTGTTTTGAGCAGCAAAATTCAAAGTGCGCTCGGATATATGGCTCCTGAGTTTGCTTGCCGCACAGTGAAGATAACCGAGAAATGTGATTTATACGGGTTTGGGATCCTAGTTCTGGAGATAGTGACTGGAAAAAGACCTGTGGAGTATATGGAGGATGATGTGGTTGTTCTGTGTGACATGGTAAGAGGAGCATTGGAGGAGGGAAAGGTGGATCAGTGTATTGATCCAAGGCTTCTGGGAAATTTTGCCGCAGAAGAAGCAATTCCTGTGATAAAATTAGGGTTAATCTGTGCATCACAGGTGCCATCAAACCGTCCAGACATGGCTGAAGTAGTCAACATATTAGAGTTGATACAGTGCCCTTCTGAAGGACAAGAGGAAATAGAATGAATTCTAGTTGTAGAGTTTGAAAAAACAACATATATTGCAGAAATACATGGTGAAGAACAATCCAGTTTGCTTGCTCTAAAGCTAAAGTTATACAGGCAAAGAATGTTCTGCCGGATTATCCTCAAGGGTTTACCTTCTTGTTTGAGTTTATGTGCTTTCTTCATATATTTTGTTTACTTCTATTTATTTTTTTCCTTTAAACTTGTTCAGCTCAGCGTAAATTACTGGATTTTTCTTCACTTTACATGCCATGGTCTCTTCATCATTTGGGGAAAAAAATTGTGGATGTGAGGTTTGAGTGACTGGTGCATTCAAATTCAATGACTTCTGAACACCATAGGGGAAAAAGGAAGTGATGATTTTGTTTTTCCTTTCCATGTGGAAGTAAGTGAACTTGAGAAGAGATTTTGAATAAACCAAAAGAAGTGGGAAACAAGGCAGGCACAAGATCAAAATATCAAACCATTGGTCATGATTACAAAATACAAATTATGCAGGAAAAGGGTGGTGGCCGGAAAAGGAAAAGTTAAGAAGCACTATCTTGCATTATTGATACTTTTAGCTTGAATTAATATTATTTGAGTTTTGTCAGCAAAAAAAAAAATTCGATTTTTTTAAAATAAAATAATTTTCACTGAATGAAAATGAAAAAAAAAAATGTACCAAACTTCAGTTTTCTTAAAACTGAAAGGTAAATTATACAGTTTCTATATTTTGCTGACTACCCTTTTTTCAGGGAGGGCGTGTTTATTTGAAAAAAATAAAATAAAAGAGAAGTCTCACTTTTGCCAAAATTTTTTGGAAAAAAAAAAAAACAACTGAGAGAAGTATAAGGAATTTCAACAAAACTGAGGGAAAATTTGTGTAAACTAAAAATGCATACTCAAGTGTTGCATGACGTGTGACGTAAACAAAAAATATGATGCAAATCATACAATAGTATTTCCTCTGGTTCTTATTATAATTATGTTCTGGTTAATTATATATATATATATATCAAAAGTATTATTCATATAATGAGGACAAGAGGAAGTATTATCATTAGATTAACTTAACTTTGCTATCTAATTTAAATTTAGTTAAATCCCCAAATCACCCAAACAAGTAAATTCAAAGGGTCAAATCAGTCATAGAAAAGTACTCTTCAAAATACCTTCGCTGTAAATAAGATTTTATAATTATAATTGGAAATAGTATATTTTTAAATTACATTTTACTCTTATACAAGTTTATCTAAGTTTTGTTTTTCTTTTTTTAAAAAAAAATTGAGAGGTTTGTGAAGTTTGATAAAATTTAATAAATGTGTATTCAGTTTGAAATAAATTAAAGGAGATGTTAATATATAATACCTCTGATTCTAGTTGATTAATTTAAGTAGATTAAAAAAACTAGTTAAGTTAGTTATTTATAATAAATAGGTATTATCTTTTCTAAAATATCCTTACTAATCAAGTACTCCTCCGGTCCTTAATATAGGATCCAATTCTTAAGTTAGTTTCGGTCCTAAATATAAGACTCATTTCTTATATTTATCAATTTTTTCTAAATTACTCCTATGGATAATCTCTCAACCATAATCAAGTAGAAGATGGAGAGGAGTATTAAGAAAGATGATTATGGTATAATTAACTAACTTACCTAACTTTCTTAATCTAATCATATTAGTTAAATGAATCTTATATTAAGGACTGGAGGAATATATTGGTTAGAACTATTATTATTATAAGAACTATCGTGGGGAAAAAATAGATAAATATGAGAAACAAAGTGGATTGAGATCTTATATTTAGAATCAAAATAAAAATCAAACGAGCTTTTATATTAAGGACCGGAGATAATATTATCTATAAAAAGAATTGAGAGAGACATGTATAATTAATTAGACAAAAAAAAGAAGAGTATAAATGATTTTCTAAAATAAGTGACTTTTTTTTGGCCAATAAAATAAGTGACTTGTAGTTAAAGTGAATAATTAAAGCTTGTAGGTGAAGCAAATTTGTTTAAATAGATAATTAAATAGTGGCTTCTGAAATATGGGAGGATCATGATGGTGGGACATAATGAGAATCGAGTCCTTAAAAGCATAACCATTTGAAAGAGACTTTATTTCGAAGTGGCTGCATTATTGGAGCAGTGAATGGGACAATGATCCCATGTTCCCATAACATCATAAATATTTCTACTTCAATTCAAAGAAAAGAAACATTACACACTACACTTTTATTAATCCTTACATGTTACTATGTCCCTCCTCTCTGTTTTTGCTTCTCCACTCATTTACATTAAATAATGATACTGCCACATACTTTGATGATTATGTGTGCTCTGTCGTGTGCAACATATAATTCTCTAATATTTTTTTACAAGTCAATTTTATCATGTTTCATTAAAATTAAGAAGAAAATCTTAAATTTTATTAATTGTATGTTAAAATTTAAGAACTTTTTAACTTTATCCCTAAAAATGTATACATTTTTCAACAAAAGAACAATCTACACATTAATAAATGAATAATAAAATACTCCCTCCGGTTTTAAATATAAGTACACTACAAAATAGGTCTTATATTAAAGGCTGGAGGAGGACTATATTTCAAACATCCAGACTCAGTATTTTTTTTATATAAAAAAATATATTTCTCAAACATGGAAGTGGTGATAATGATTATAAAAAAATAATTAAAATGGAATGAATAATTGAGATGAAGTTTGATGCAGAAGTGTGCTAAGGGTAATCAAATGCACTACCGATAAGTTGCAATGATTTCATCCTGCAATCCCGACTCTTTACGTTTCTTTGTGGAGACAGAATCATACTTGATGCCATAGCTTCAATAACCACGTACCGGACAACATGATGCCAAAAATGAACTTTTAGCACATTATTTTTGTAAGTGTATTTTACATAAAGTATTTTTAGTATGTTTCATATAAATAGAAAAATCTTAAGATATTAAAATATAATAACTTTTTAACTGCACCCCTATTTGATATATATACTTTTCAAAAAAAATATCTATAATATAATAAATAAATGATGAAATAATATATTTATGTCAAATATTTAATAAAGTAATTTATGAATAAGATAAAAAAATTTCTCTCTCTCTCTCTCACGAATAAGACTACAACAGTACTGTAGAGTCTACACCGGACTCAAACTCCCATAGAATTTAGATATTATTTATTATATAAAATATATCATTTACATAAATTGTTTGTAAACTTACCTCTAACTCCACATGATATGCAGAGGAATATTGTCTGTCTTATTTATATAAGTTTTATAAAAATTTCTATTTTAAAAAATGTTTATTATTTATATAAGTTTTATTGATACTATATGTTATGCGTATTTAAGTATTACTCATTTTTCCCATCTCGTAAGACTTGAAAAAAGAAAAAAAAAACAAGTAGAGCAAACCCTTTTTTTTTGGACCAAAGTAGAGCAAACTCACTATTGCTGTCTGGAGAAGACAGGAGCCTTTGGCTGTGATTATGGTATGGCCAGCGCATGCGTGCAATTAGTGTAAGAGAAACAAAAGTGGAAGAATGAGCAAAAACATATGAAATATGTTCTCAGTACATTATCATCATCATTATTATTATGATTTATTGTATATGCATGTAATCATATGCATACAATATTACTCATCCAGTCCTTAATATAGGATCTAATTATAAAGTTGATTTTAGTTCTAAATATAAGATCTATTTCTCACATTTATCAATTCTTTCTAAATTATTCTTGTGGATACTCTTTCAACCATAATCAAATAGAAGAGGGAGATGGGATATTAAGGAAGATGATTATGGTGTTTTAAGAAAAACATGTCATGTTTTTTATAATTAACCAACTTATCTAACTTTCTTAGTCTAATCAAATTAGTTAAATAGAATTTATATTAAGGACCAAAAGAGTATTTGATATTTCTTCACTTCTGGGGCACGACAAAATCTTTACTCCAATTATTCCATATAACTCGAGAAATTAACAAGTTTTAAATATCAATTAATTACTATGATTAGCACTGTCGCAATGTGATAACATCATTATAATTACCTTATGCATTATGCAACCAAGACAGCATTTCCAAGGGCTAGTTTATTTCATGAGTCCTGGATGGAGAAAGTTATTTTGAAAGAGGGCCTCATAAAATTTTGAATTCTCCAAATCTAAAATTTAGTTTTGGGGTTTGTTTAGCTAATGATTTACATATGTTCGTTCCTTGAGCTCTCCGACACTTATGCCAAGTATTTGGGGCATGATTTTCCCAAGAATTTGTGGTCATTATAGTTTAATACTTCCTTTAATTCTTTTTATAAGAAATGAATAACTAATTTTTAAAGATAAAAATATAATTAAAATAATTATCCAAATATATTTTTCTGTGCCAAACTTTTTCTAAAAAGGGAAAACTAACCTGGTAGTCTTTATAGTTTTATTAATTTTAAATCAAATCCTTATATTATTTTTTCTTTCTATGCACTCCTTATTATTTGTTCAGTTACTAGCGTTAGTCCTTCTGTTAATACCACTTGCAAGCTCTGTTAGTTTCAGTCAAGAGGGGCTGATGTGGCGCTACATACGGATAAAGATTGCCCCAAACTGAAGCCAACTCTTGAACCTCCTGGTTTACACACTAAAATCAGCCATAGCCGAACATTCCAAACCCAACAAGTCAGGTTTCATGAAGTCCTGCTCGAGTCCTCGCTTACCCCTATTGTCTGCCTTCACTTACCTGAAGTGTGATTCACCAAAATCAGCAGCAACTAGCCATCACTCTTCATTAGCCTCTCGAGGACTGGATCATGCTCCTATTTTGTCCACTCTTGAAAAAAATAATATTGACTGTTGGGTAAGTCTGCCACCACAAAAGCTTGGTAGCATAGAAAATATTTAAAAAAAACTGTTATCAGCAGATAGTAACCTAATCCAAAACTGATTAAATACTTTGAGAACGAAAAACAGAGTAATATTTTGATAGCAAAATCGATCTCAAGACGATGTCCAGAATTGAATTTTGTGCCTAAATGCAAGTGCATCTGTATAATATAATCATGTAAGGGAAAAGAGTGAAATTGTGCAAAATCTATATATTTATTTAGGTGTAAGAATCTGCACGAAAGAAACAAAACGAGAAGATGCATTGATTGTTAAGTTATGATTTCTCATGAGTTAGCAAATGAACTGACAAAGACCGAAAAAAAACCTGCATATGTAAGGGTAAGAATTTGGAAATAACATACCAGGGAACTGAATTGATTGATGAGATATATAAATATATATTAATGCATATCTTCTCTGTTTTAGTAACTCAGTTTTAAAAGCAAATCAGGAAAATGGATTCACTGATTGCTAAAGTTATTTTCATGACTTTGAATAATTTGATTTACTAAAGCTTAATTTCGATGCCTTGAAGTGAAGTGATTCACTAAAACAGAGAACAGGGATCGCAAGTAGTTCTACAAGAGGACTTTATCGATTTGCTGGGTTGGAAGGTTTGGCTATGGTAGATTTTATTGTATAAATGAGGAGGTTTAGGGCTCCGCTTTAATTTGGGTGCATCTTTATCAGTGTGTAGCCACATCAACCCTTTTTTGACTGGAACTAATGGCATTTGCAAATATTATCAACGGAAGGACTAATGCTAATAACTAAGCAAACAATAAGGAGTGAATAAAAAGAAAAAATATTATAGGGACTTAATTCAAAATTTAATGAAACTGTAAGGATTGTCAAATTAGTTTTTCCTTCTAAAAATTAATTATATAAAAAACAAAAAAAAAGACTTTGAAATACTACTATGGCCTTTAATGTCGTAGTTAATTAACTAATTTAGATAAATTAAAAAAACTAAATAAATTATTTAATTTTAACAAATGTTTATAAGATTACATTGTTACCATTGATAAAAATATAAGAGTTAGATAACTAATTTGTGAATATTAATAAAATTAGTTAAATTAGTTATTTGTAACAAATATGTGTTGTTTTTCCTAAAATAACTTTGTTAATGATGTATATTAGAATAAAAATCTTTTAACATGTGCAATTATCATGTAAAGTATTTTGGTGAAAAATAAATAAATATGAAAGATAAATTAGATTGGATGTCTTATATTTAGAATCAAATTAAATCTCTGACTAACTTTTTTATTTAAGGCCAGAGGTGGTATATCGATTTATAAGTTAGATAAATTAGTTTAAAAAATGAGATAAATGAGATAAAATGAATTAGGATCTTAAATTTAACCACAAAAACATTTTCCTAACTAGCTCCTATATATAGTATCAGAAGAGTAATTTGAATGAAATACTTCTTTGGTCCTATTTATAAGTCATTTTCAACATGTTTTATATTGATCGGAAAAAATTAAAATTTTATTAACTTTCATTTAAAATTCAACAAATTTTCAACTTTATTTCTATTTAATATACATTATACCTTATATAAACAAAGTTAACACAATACTAAATAAATGATAAAAGTGTACATCGATGCAAAATTTTTTCTTAATGCTTTATAAATAGAAACAAAAGTATCTTCTCTCTCTATCCTACAAAGAGGACTAGAGGAGTAATTAAAAAAATATTAAAAAACAAATTTAGATAGATTAAAAGAATTAAATAAATTATTTAATTTTAACAAATGTAACATGATTTTCTTAAAATAATCTTATATAACATTACAATGTTACCATCGATCTTCAATATAAGAACTACATAATTAATTTATGAATATTAATAACTAATATGAGACTATTAAAAAAATTAGTTAAGCTATTATTTGTAACAAATGAATATTATCTTTGTTAATTATGTACATTAAAATAAAAATATTTTAACATGTGCAATCATCATGTCAAGCATTTTGAGGAAAATAAATAAATGAATATAGAAGACAAAGTCAATTGGAGTCTTATATTTAGAAACAAATTAAATTTCTAACTAATTTTTATATTTAGAATTGGAGATAGTATGTTGATTTATAAGTTAGATAAATTAGTTTAAAAAATAACAAATTTGAGATAATATGAATTTTTTTCGAAACCGTGTGAGATAACATGAATTAAGATCTTATATTAACACCAAAAAACATTTTACTAACTAGCTCCCACATAGGATCAAAAGAGTAATTTGCACGAAATAATTAAAATAATATTTCTTTTTCATCACTCTCTCTTAAGACTTTGACCAACATAGCCTAAGTATGCAACATATTTACCGTCAATATACGGATGGAGTAATTTAGCAGTTGGTTAAATAGTACTCTTTATGATGCTAAACATAAAAATCAACAGAGTTTAATTTTTTATTCTAAATAAATGCTACTTTGGTCCTAATTATAAAAACTAATTTCTAGTCTATAAACAAAGTATTATAAATAGGATCAGAGGTAGTATATAATCTTCATTCTATCTTCTAAATTTATAATTTGTAATCTAAACTTTTCTTACTAATTACAAATAGAGTTTTTTTTGGTCAAAGAATTAATATCTAATGTTGACAATTAATATAAGACTTTGTTTGATTTTTATTTTGATTCTAAATATAAGATTCCAATCTATTTTGTCTCTCATATTTATTTTTTAAAGATAATTCTTCTAATAATAGTAGTGTTATCCAATACACTTGATTAGTAAAGATATTTTAAGAAATACAAAATATATTTATAACAAATAACTAACTTAACTTATTTTTTAATCTATTTAAATTAATCAACTAGTTTTTATATTTAGAAGTGTGGTATGTATAAAAAAATTAATTATTTACCTCTCACCTTTGATTTTTTTGGGTCATGGACAGTCACACAGGGGGGCAGTCATTAGAGTGGAAGAAATGAACACTGGAGAGCATGAGCGACCAGCGGATTTGGTACCGAAGTTGGTGGCTGTTATTAACTACCCCTACCTAAATGTCGTAATCTCTGTTCATGTACCTCTTCACTTATAATTTCGTCATGAATGTCGCCGGAGCCTATCTGATAAAGATGATAGATTAGAGTCGAAGCAAAAAGACACAAGTAGTTGAGTCCCACCCCCAATGGTTGAACACAAGACACCGTTCGGCGATGAAGAGAGCAATCTGCTGGACCGGTTCGAGAGAATGTGGTTCGAGGCTCACCTGAACCGAGCCATGCAGAGTCGCAGCCTGAGCCTCTCATCAGAACCCGATCATCAGCATCAGCAACGGAAGCAACGACGACGTCGTTCCGGCCTTGGGTTCCACCGTGTTCTCAAGAAGCTCATCACTCCCATTCTTGGCGTCAATTCCAAGAATAATCATGGAACGAGACGTCAACAAGTTCAGGATCCCACACGGCATCCGCTCACTTTGAAGGTTTTCAGCAGATCTCTCCACTTTTGATCAATTGGTTTGTTTGTTCTATCTTTTGCAGTGATCGTAAATTCACGAGACTTATGTGAACTTGTAAATTGAGTTTTGCTGATTCATTTCATTGTTCTTAATCAAAGGAGTTAGTTACTGTGCGTTGATGTCTACTTTTTATTTATAAAATTTACCGCTCGTGGTGAATGGTTAAAATGAAAAAATTGGTTTTGAACCAACAGTGCTTATGTCGTAGGATATTTATCTTCCCAGTTCTTCCTCTTTCAAGTTATGGCTTCTCAATTTCTTGTTCCGTCTCAAGTTTTTCAATCTCCTCTGCGATCTGCTACTTCAAACATTAGCCATCTTTTCTTCGATTTCAATAGCAGAAGCAACTCCGATGGGCACAGTTTCACTTTACGAGCAGGTAAGCAAAATACTCTCAAGTATGGTTTGACTCTTGATGAAATTAGCTGCGCAAACATCGAACCAGAAATGAAGGACGTTCTGGGGAGAAGTCTGCTAAACAGGATTAGGTTTTTAGCCTCCAACAGTAAAAATTGGAAAACTGATCTGGATGAAGCGGAGCGAGTTCTAAACTCAATGTTGGAAAATGGATTTAAGCCAGATGTTGAGACACTCACGATTCTCATAAATTCCTTCTGCAAAAGGGGAAGGACGAAGAAGGCTTTAGAAGTTTTCGACCTCATGAACCGAATTGGGACAAAACCTACAGTTCAAACATACAACTGCTTGTTAAAGGGACTCTGTTATGTGGGGAAGGTGGAAGAAGCGTATGACATGTTGATGAATATGAAGAAGATGAAGATCCCTTTGAAGCCTGATATTTACTCGTATACCGCTGTAATGGATGGCTTGTGTAAAGTGGGTAGATCAGATGAAGCCAGGGAATTACTCAACGAAGCTGAGGAATCGATGGGTCTAAAACCAAATGTAATCACTTTCAACACTCTGTTTCAAGGGTATTCCAGGGAAGGGAGGCCATTGGAGGGTATATCTGTTCTGAAACTGATGAAGAAGAAAAATTGTGTCCCTGATTATATAAGCTATGCCACTTTGTTACATGGGCTATTGAAATGGAATGAGATTAGGGAAGCTTTGAAGATCTATAAGGAAATGGAGAGATTTGGGTTTGAAGTGGATGCGAGGATGATGGGGACTTTGGTGAGAAGGCTCTGTAGAGAATCAAGGAAAGAAAAAGGCATGCTTGAAGATGCGTGCCAGGTGTTTGAGAAAATGACCAAGAGAGATTCCATAATAATAGACCAGAGGACATATGAGCTAATGGTCCAAGCACTTTGTGCTCGAGGAAGGACAGTAGAAGCAGTGTCAACTTTGGTTTTGATGGATGAAAAGGGAAGAATTCCCAATGGACTATGTTTTGATGAATTGATCAAGGGGCTCAATGCACAAGGAAGATTGTTTGGTCAGTCCAATTTGTTTGGTTACGCAATGAAGCGAGGTGTCGTTCAAGTAAACTCCGGCATGTAAATCCATTCACTTGCTGTATCATTGAATTTGTTCAAGCGATATAGCATTTGTACGCTGAAGCAAATAAAAAGTCCTCTTACTCGCGCACACATCTCATGCTTCTGTTATTGCCCTGAGCCTATAATTTTAAAGCAACTTATCATAACTTGGTTGAAGAGTAAAGGCTAATTTGTGAGACACACACACACACACACATGCTTCGTCAACAAAACTCAATTAAGTACTACAAATCATGTAACTGACAAAAAGTATTAGTTTTGCAGCAATTACAGTCAATAATTGATATATAAATGCATAGCAAATACTCTGCAAATTAAATATAGCAAATCATATATTGAGCTCAGCGCTACCTTTGTAAACCCCATAATAACGCAACTTGCGAGCAAAGAACTCGTTCAAACAATCTCTCTCAGATTCATCGAAGCCTTGAAACTCAATCTCTAATTCATAGTGTCTCCAGCATTTTATGGGGAAATTATAGCGGCACTCTCCCACCTTCAGGTTGGTCGTCTCCACGTTCTTACCATATTTAAACTGCAATATTTTTAAATACCCACTTCAATTGCTGCCACTAGTTAAATTTTAAGATTTAAGGCACTCACTCACAGGACAACGGAAGAATTCCCTCCGCCAACAAGAATAAAGCTATATACTATCTTAGGTTCTTACTATAAGATTTAGTTGACTAACTTGAGGAGATTAAAAAATTATATCTTTAGTTCTTAATATAAAAACTAGTTTGACTTTTAATTAAGTCCTAAATATAATACCCCAATGTCTCTCGTATTTATTTATTTTTTTCCAAGCAGATTTTATAGTAGTTGCACATGTTAAATGTTCTATCAAATGTTAAAGCTAATATACATGATCAGCAAGAGTATTCTAGGAAAGACAATACTCATTTATTACAAATAAGTAATTTAACAAACTTCCTTAACATACTCAAATTAGTCAATTAACTCTTGTATTAAGGATTAGAGGTAGTATTAAATTACTTTCAAGCATTTATATTTATTGTTTTCTCCAAACTAATTTGCCTCATTTATAAATTGACATGTAATCTAATAATACACATAAGTATTTTAGAGAAATCATATCACCTCTGGTTCTTAATATAAGAGCCAGATGACTAATTTGAAAAAATTAAAGAAATTACTTAATTACTTAATTATAAAATATATTATATGATCTCTTTAAACTACTTGTATGGATTATTAGATTATATATCAATTTATAAGTGAGACATTAATTTGGAGAAAAGTGATAAATATAAATAGTTTGAAGTAATTTAGTGACTTCCTCAATCTCCTTGAATTAGTCAACTAGGTCTCATATTAAGAATCGAAAGTAGCATAACATATTGTATAATTAAATAATTTAGTAATTTTCTTAATCTCATCAAATTAGTCATTATGTTAAATACCAAAGGTAGTGTGTGTGTGTATGTCATACATTATACCTAAAGAGATCAAGAAAATACAAATCAAACATTTATGTCAACATAGTTGAGTACGTAAAAGATAATGAACACACCTTCAAGGTGCTCATTGTCTTTGTGCATTAGGAAGATAATGTTATCGTCCGTGGCATCCACACCAACTTAAGCAAACTTTTCAATAATAATTTGATCAAATTTGGATCATCACTTGGTAACCGATCATGAATGGCCTCTACTTTTAGATGCCTCAAGTCATACAGTAGTGAAGATTCATTAACTGGCTGAAAAGGCAGTTTTGGAAAGATCACAAGCTGCAAACCAAACCAAACCAAACAAATTGAATGTCTATACATCAAATAATAACAAAGGGAACTGCATATACTTTGGTGAGCTCTGTTTAATTTTGGGTTTGCGAAAATAAATACGCACCTGAAATTCCCGGCAAGTTATAGTTAGGTCATTGAAGTGATTAAAGCTGCAACAAAGGAAGTTCCTCACAGAGGAATAATAAATATATGAAATAGCTGATGAAAAAAATAATGAGATGTTTGCACTGCATTTGGCTGATGTAATTAACTTCGGGAACCATATGCCTTCGTAGATGAAGTAGAACTCAGAACTCAAGTAAGTTTGGAGCATCAATAACCATCTCGGTCGTTTCAAGAGTCCAAGAAAGCATATGCAATGACAACTTCTTAAGGGCGCGCGGAATTGAACTCGTTCGTTATGATCGTTGCATCGGTCAGCTTCAAAGCCTAAGATCACTACAATATTCGATAACTAATGTACATTGTCGGGGTTCATCATATTCAAGACCCTCAGACTTGAAATTGTTCAGACTTTTCCCCTACAATAATATTTGACATGCTTCCAACTCTCTGCAGCTCATTAGCTCAACTTTCTTCAGAGATGAAGAAGATGAAACTTTTATATTTTGAAATCCGTCACAGCTGGTGAATAGTAGTTCTTTCAATTTTGGGCAAGTTATAAAAGCATCAACCAGTGGAACTCTTACCCCAGTAAGCGTAAGCACAGTCAAGAATTGTGAGGAAAATAGAGGATGAAGTGATTCATAATTCCAATTCATATTAATATCATTCGTGCTGTAGTCTGTTATTTGTAAGTTAAAGTTCAGCTCTTTGACATTGTTTTTGAGGGCAAAGTTTAGTAAAACATCAAACACTTTTAGGTGCCGATGGGAATTGGGTCTACTCGTTTCTGTGTAAGATAAGCTTGGGCCGTGCAAAGAACCTTTTACGTAAGGGCCACGAAGTTGGATGCCTTTCCGGACAATCGAGGAAGGTCTTGCATCGAAGACCAGGTGATTGCAAGATTTCTAGCTAATACAGAGAAGAAAAGGAAATTAACTCTGAATCTTATTCAACTCAACTGAACTCTGCGAGGTTTATCAGATTGCTTTATACACATAGTAATGCATAACAAAGTAACTGACTACGGTTACTCAACAAACTCAGACTCAGACATTTGGGCTTAGGCCCAACATAAGCCCAATATACCCAATACACTAATATCCCCCCAGCTTTTCCTTTTAAGAGTACAATACGTTGACTGGGACCACACGAAGCCTTTCACGACATTCAACAAATGCAGCAGGTGGCAGGGCCTTAGTTAGAACATTAGCTACTTGCTCTGCAGCTGGAACATAGTTAACCCGCAGAGTGCCATCATTAATTTTCTCTCGAACAAAGTATAAGTCAATCTCAAAATGCTTTGATTTACTGTGTAACACTGGATTGGCAGAGAGAGCAACTGTTCCAGAGTTATCACACCATACAGATGGAGTGCCAATGACATCAACATGCATTTCTTTGAGCACAGCAAGAAGCCACAGAATGTCAGAAACTGAATCAGCAACACTGCGAAACTCTGCTTCGGTAGTAGAGCGAGCTACAACAGGCTGCTTCCGAGAAGTCCACATGATTGGATTTGGACCTAAGTAAGTACAATACCCACTTGTGGAGCGCCTATCTTCCTTTGATGAAGCCTAGTCGACATCAGCAAACCCTTGGACAGTAAAATTTGTTGCTGGTTGAATGAGCAGGCCATAAGAACTGGTCCCACTAAGATAGCGAAGTACACGCTTAATCCCTTCCCAGTGCACTTCTCGAGGACACTGCATAAATTGAGCTAGTCTGTTCACAGTGTAGGAAATGTCAGGTCGAGTAAGACAAATATACTGTAAGGCTCCCACTATGCTACGATACAACGAGGGGTCTTGCAGCACTTGACTATCCATATTAGTGAGTTTAGTACATGTAGTCATTGGTGTGGGCTTAGCATTTGACATCATCATATGTGTCTTTGTAAGTAACTCAGTAATGTACTTCTTCTGTGACATATGAACTCCCACTTGAGTTCTATGGAATTCAATCCCTAAAAAGAAGGAGAGTTCACCAAGAACTTTCAGAGAAAAGAATGAATTCATCTGAGAGACAACATTCTTGGTAGCATCATTACTGCTGCCTGTAAGAATAAGATCATCGACATAGACAAGAATTGATTTCGGCAACCTGTGGACATCCTCCTCCACCGACCTTTTAGCAACCTCTTCGTTCTTCATTTGGTAGAGGTCGAGGCAGAGGACTAGTGGTTTCTAAGCCAACATGTCAGATCTGCACAAAGGTTGGTCACACGGCTGATCGCTGTTACTTCCGGTATGAGTATACTTACAATAATAACATTCCTCATCATGTTTCCAATACTCATAATAATACTTCGACTCCAAGCGCATATAACACTGTTGCCTCGCTTGATGAGTGTCATACTGTGGCCGATTGTGAGCACTCTGCTGTTCAAACAAATGCACCTGCATCTATTCCGCAACCTGCTGCTGGTATCACTTGTCAATCAAATCCTGCTTTGGTTGCCAACTCTTCTTCTTCTCAACCTACTAGCCAATCTGCTAGTGCACAAGTGTTTCTAGCTCATCCGATTGCAGTAACCAGTGACGATGCATGGTATTTTGATTCTGGCGCCACTCAACATGTAGCTCATTCAACCAACAAAATGCAGCAAGTCTTTGATGGATCTGGCACGGTTGAAGTAGGTAATGGTCAACCTCTATCTATCTCTAACTTTGGACATTCGATTTTATCTGCTGCTAAACCTTTACATCTTCGGAACATTTTGTGTGTTCCTGAAATGAAAAAGAATTTGATGTCCATAGCTCAATTTACAAGGGAAAATCAAGTCTCTGTTGAATTCTTTCCTAATGACTGTGTGGTTAAGAATCTGCAGACCCGTACGATTTTGGCACATGGTATTGAGAGGCATGGGATGTATAAGTATCTTGAAGATGCAAAGAAGCTGAAGGATCAGCAATCGTATTCTGGTTTCAAAAGTAATAGCAATAGTTGTTTTTCTGTGACTACTTCTGATGTATTAGTTTTGTGGCATCGCAGACTAGGTCATCCTTCTGTAGATGTTACTAAGAAAGTTTTACATTTGAATAAGGTAGAAGTTTCTCAGAATGTAACTTGGTCAATCTGTCAGGCTTGTCAACTGGGAAAGAGTCATAAACTTCCCTTTGTACCTTCTACCACTAAATACAACAAACCTTTTCAACTTGTTATGGCTGATTTGTGGGGACCAGCCCCCATTTTATCATCTGGGTATGCTTACTATGTTGCCTTTGTTGATGCATATAGTCGATTCACGTGGATCTACTTACTCAAAACTAAGTCTGAGGCTTTGTCAGCTTTTAAAACCTTTAAAAGCAAAGTTGAACTTCAGTTTCAAACTAAAATAGTACAGTTTCAGTTAGACAATGGTGGGGAATTTCAAGCTTTCTCCAGGTTCTTATCTGAGGCAGGAATTGAACACCGCTTGTCATGCCCACATACCTCTGAGCAGAATGGGCTCGTTGAGAGGAGGCACAGACAGATTGTCGAAACAGGGCTTACATTACTTGCTCAGGCTGAGTTACCTTTGTACTACTGGCCACATGCATTCACTTCTGCAGTATTTCTTATGAACCGATTGCCTTCTCAACCACTGAAAGGCTTTTCTCCCTATGAGAAGCTCTACGGTAAAGTTCCTGATTACTCTATATTGAAGGTTTTTGGATGCAAATGCTATCCATGGATTCGTCCATATAATGCTCATAAACTTGCATACCGCTCTGCTCCATGTATCTTTCTTGGCTATAGTACTCAACATAAAGTTTACAAGTGTTTGGATCCCCTAACAGGAAAACTGTATATTTCAAGGCATGTGAGATTTGAGGAAAATGCCTTCTTTGCAACAACTCAAGTCAACACTCATCAGCAGCCCACCTTATCTTCACCTAACCCAGTGTCATCTTTTCAACCCTTGCCTACCTCCACTACATCACCTTGTTCAGTTATCTCTTTACCCAGTTCCTCCCCACCCACTCCCAATTCCTCATCTGACACACCTGTCTTACCACCTCAACCACCCATTATTCCAACACTGACTGTTAACAATCACCCCATGACTACCAGATCCAAAGTTGGCACCTTCAGACCTAAAGCCTATCTCACCACTACCTCTCAACCCTTCTGTCCTGACAATATATCTGAAGCTCTAGCTGACCCTGACTGGCGACTTGCTGCAGAAGAAGAGTACAATGCTCTTCTCAAATTCCAAACCTGGCTCTGATAGCATGCAAGATTTCTAGCTAATACAGAGAAGAAAAGGAAATTAACTCTGAATCTTATTCAACTCAACTGAACTCTACGAGGTTTATCAGATTGCTTTATACACATAGTAATGCATAACAAAGTAACTGACTACGGTTACTCAACAAACTCAGACTCAGACATTTGGGCTTAGGCCCAACATAAGCCCAATATACCCAATACACTAATAGTGATGAGAAAGAGGATCCGTAACTGAAGTGTAGGGTTGGAAATGAAAGCCAAGAAGAATAGAAGGATTTGGATAAGACTCGGAATGCATGGTTTGGTGGATGACATGATCAGGCAGATTTTCCAGTTTCGTGGGGTTATCACTTTGCGCTTTCTTCTTGCTTCCATCTCCTCAGTTTCCTTATATTATATGGCTTTCATCCTAGAATTCCTATATCAAATATGAAATATCAGAAACCTATATATTACACATGGATATTCATGTCTAACAAAAAAAAAAAGGTATATACAGAGATAATGCTAAAGAAAGATTATGCAGAAGTTGCCACTAATAAACCACGGATAATAAACTAATAAACTAAATAAAGTAGTAATAATTTCGAGCCACCAGTTGTAGGTTCATGAAATTAAAAACACTACTATTTAACTCGGACCTAAAGGCCAACAAATCCAATATGCAAATTTGTATGAATCAGTTCAAGCAGGTAATTAACTGGGCTTGAAGAGTAACGAAGATTGACATATTATTTACGTTAGAATAATTCTTGTTCTCCTTAGCATTACAAATCATCGGCCCTATGTCTATATATGTGTATATATATATATATCACATCTCAACAATTATACCTTAAAACTGAATCAAAATGATCAACAAGCTGTAAGTTGCGGTGTGGTAAGCGATCTCAGCCTTGTAAGGAGGAGAACACAAGTTTGAATCATGAAAAAAAGCAAAAATCCTTTACACTCTAAATCTTGAAAAAAAATACCCTCAATTAGATAGGGGGAAGAAAACTGAGTCGAAACCCTGATAACACATGGGTACATTTTACTGTGTAGGGATATTATGATTGTTTCTGTTTTGTTTGTTCTGCCGATTCTCCTCTGCTCTAAAAGCATAGCCTTGATTTCTATCCCCAGGGGCAGAAATTGAAGAATTATTTCAGGCCTTTGACGGATTTTTCTAAGGAGCGTGATTTGCAAAATGTTAAATTACGTGAGAATATTTGAAAATCAACAGTAATATATTTATGATTATTTGTTTGCTTTATATATCCGCTTTCAATAATTGGAATATTTTCTTCAAACCGTACGTAATAACGAAACCCTTGGAAAAGGGCCAATAACGTTCAACATTAATCATGGTAGGAGTTTTTGAATCTTGATACGTAATTGATTTGTAAATAATCTTTATCTTCCCACATTTGCAAACGTTAATCCTTAGGATTTATTCTGGTAAAAAAATCGTTAGGATTTGTAATTTATAAAACCTCCATAACTCATAATTGATTTGTAAATAATTTTTCAAGATTTGCAGCTAAGCTATGTTGCCAGCTGCACAACTCCTTATGAAAAAAATCTTGATCTCGATTCACCTCCATAATTTCATTAAAAGTGTTTCCTAAATATAATTACTGTCCTGGAGTGTGGTCTCTAAATTTCATTTTCCCTCGGTATAATTACATTTTATATGTTAAAGAAATTGATCAAGAATAAATTCGGGCCCTTTCTCTTCCTTGATCGCCAAATCCTTTTGATGGCAGCGTGATTTGCAAAATCTCAAATTAAATGGGAATATCCGTAACAGATATTTGGAAATTCCATTAATATCTAGTTTTCAATTGTTTTTGGATTTTTTTTACTGATAATCCTTTAAAAAGAATATTACATTTGAAATTAGTTTTCCTTATTATGATTTTAGATAAAAGAGTATAAACAAAAATAACTTTCGCTTGTGCAGCCAAAAACAGGTTAATGGTTTTAAATGAAAAAAACTGTATAAACAAAATTTAAATATTAAGTGAGTTTATACTACTAAGGAATTTTTTTTATCAAAAAACCAATAGACTGTATAAAAATTAAAAATGAGTCACAACCCAAAACTTAAAAGAAACGTGGAATCATACATGACATAAGATTTGATGCGGCAGATATCAGTTTGGTTACCATTAAAGAAACGCTATTATATTGTTCTGATAAAGTAGGGTGACATTGCTTTTGTTTAACGCTTCTGAGTACCCGTAACTCTGGCATGAAAACTTTCGAATCAAAATTACACCTTAACCCAAAATTGAAAGACCAATGTCAAAGTCACTTCATGGTTCTATTATTTTTGCCATAGCCTATAATTTTAGACCAACATATCATCATTACAATTTTTTTTTTGGCAACTAAACCTCGAGTTCAATTTATAAGGAATGATTTCTGAGAAATTTGCATATCCTTTGTCAACAAACCTCAATTTTAAGTACTGCAAGTCATGCAACTGACAAGAAGTATTTATAATCATTGATACTCAATGCATAGCAAATATTTTTGAAAACTACTAATTAAGATACAAGAAAGCAAATCATCATATTGGAGCCAGCTAGCTAGCTGTCTCTGTATATCCCATAATTACGCAAAGAGCTAGCGAAGAAGTTCTCCAAATACTTTCTCACGTATTCATCGAAGCCTTCAAATTCAATCTTCAGTTCGTAATGTCTCCAGCATTTTATAAGAACATCATAGCAGCAATCTCCAACCTTCAAATTCTTCGATTCCACTTTCTTGCCATATTTAAACTGCAATATTTTCCAATTAAACATTAAGATTTCTACCACTTAGTCATAGGACAACCAGAGAATTTCTCTACCAAACAAGAATAAATTGATGAGGTAAATATAAATCAAACATATATGTGAACATCGTTTAGTAAAAGATCAAATTAGAAACATACCTTCAAGGTGCTCGTTGTTTTTGTGACATGGGAGTATAATGTTATAGTCTGGAGTCTCGGCATCAACCAAAGCAAACCTTCCAACAATTTGGTCAAAGTTCGACCACTTGGTAATGACTCTTCTATTGCTTCTAGTTTTATATGCCTCAAATCATACAATGCAGATAAAGTATCTAGCTGCATATCGTGTCTTGGAACGATCATATACTTCAAAATATACCAAATCAAACAAAGTCAATGTTAGATATGTGATAACAAAGACGGGAAATATATATAACTTGATGATCTCTATTGTGGGCTTGTGAAAATAAGTAATTACTACGTACCTCAAATCTGAAGCAAGATAGAGAGAGGTCTTTGAAATGATCAAAGCAACTAAGGAATTCCTTCACTAAGACAAGATTTGATATTCCATATGGCAATAAGATGTTGCCATTGCATTTGGCTGACAAAATGCATATTGGGTACTCTATACTTCCATTGAAGTCGAATTCAAGCAAGTTGGGAACATCAACAACCACCTCCTTCAATTCCAAACAGTCAAACAATGAAAACCTTTTAAGGCTGTACTTTTCAAATTCAATCTTTTCCAACAGATTGCAATTGCATATTTCCAGCTCTTCCAAATAAGATAAGCCCTGGATCGTCTTCTTTAACCACTCGTCTGTTATGGTCGTTGCTGTGGTCAGTTTCAAAACCCTAACAGCAAGACAATCTGAGATATCCAATGTACATTGTTGGTCTTGATCATCATAACCCTCAAACTTGAAACTTTGCAAACTTTTTCCGTCTAATATCTGAATTGCTTGCAACCCTTTGCACCATTTTACTTCAAATTGCTTCAGTGATGATGAGGATGAAACGTTTATAGTTTGAAAACCATCACAGGACTTGAATAGTAGTTCTGTTAATTTTGGGCACTTCATAAAAGCATCAAAAGGTAGAATCTTTATACCAGTGAGCTTGAGTACAGTCAAGAATTGTGAGGAAAATAGTGGAAGAAGTGAGTCATGAGTCACATTGATGTTATTCATAATGTCTCCTAGTTGAGAAAAACCATGGAATATGATGTCAAAGTTTATCTCTTTTACATTGTTTTCCACTGCAAAATTTAGTAACACATCGAACACTTGCCGATAAGAATTGGAATCGGATCTTCCCCTTTTTCTCAAAGAAGAGGGAAAAATACTGGATTTGTCATTGTAAGATAAGCTTAGGTTGTGCAAAGAACCTTTTATATAAGGGCCACGACTTTGGAGGGTTTTCTGAACAATGTTGAAGAAGGTCTGATATGAAACATCCTCCGATAAAGTGGATTTGTAACTGAAGTTTAGAGTTGGGAATGAAAGCCAATAAGAATTGAAGGATCTGGATAAGACACTAAACTTGGTTGCTTCCTCATAAGGAAGGAAATGCATGATTTGGTGGATGACATGATCAGGCAGATCTTCTAGCTCCATATTTTTGTTTACAAGTTTATCAAATTTGCACGGAAAGGGTTATGCTGGGAGACGCAAAACTCACTTCGGTGATCTTCTAGCTATCAGTTGGGGATACCACCTGGTTTTCCCCAAAAAAAAAAAAAGTTTGTCAAATTTGCACTCTTTTCTTGCTTCCATCTCCTCAATTTCCCTTTATATGCATATATATAGTCTTGATCAGAAACCTTATTTACAGTTATATGCATATATATACATGTATATTCATGTCTAACAAAAAACCATGCACAGAAAATGCTTCAAATGTAAGTTATTTATGATAAAGAAAGATTCTGCAGTAGTTTGCGAATAATGAACCACTGATGATAAACTAAATAAAGCAGTAATATTTTAGAACCACCGGAAGTAGAATTATCAGACTTCCGGTTTCAAATAGATATAAAATTCATATTTTCTCAAATAATCTTAACTCTTCATCGTCATTTGTAAGCATTTAATGCTATGAATAATATCCAATTATGCAGAGTTGTGTGAAGCAGCTCATGCTACTAGGTTTGAAGATTATTATTTATATGAGAATCGTTCTTTTTCTATACTTATTAGATACTTACATGAGGAATTTTTTACGAAATTTAAAAAAAATAACTTAAGATAACGTAAGGATAAAATTGTCCACGTAAAATTTCTCTCCTCCCTACCCCTTCTAAACCAAACAAGTTAACATTGAAATTCCTTCCCTCTCCACCTCTCTATTAAAATCCCTCTCATCAAAATTCCTCCCTTTCCCTTCCCTTCATTGAACCAAATACACCCCTAGTGTTGCAGATCATCGGCTATGTTTATTTGGCCAACACATTCATGTATCATCTCCACGATTATACTTCAAAACTAAATCGAAACGATGACACTATGAGACACACAAGTAAAGATGATTGTGTGTGTGTATATGTACCTGGCTGTTTGAATATTATCTCAAATATGATTGTTCCTATTTTGTTTGCTTTTCTGATTCTCCTTTAGGCTAAAAATGAAGAAGAATTCAGGCCCTTTCTTTGCCTCACCAAATCTTTTGATGGTTTGTTTTCTTGTTCTTTTATATAGAGCGTGATTTGCCAAATCCCACATTAAATGACAATATTTGTGAATCCTTTATAGATATTTGAAAATTCCATTAATCTTTAATTTTATCCGTTTTCGTTTTTCTGTTTTTAATCTTGAATTTTCAATTGTCTTTGGATATTTGAATGATAATCCTTTAAAAATTATTATCTTTTAAAATTAATTTTCCTTATTTTTATTATTTATCCGTTCAATGGTTTGGAATTCTTATTAAAATATAGGTTCTTTTTACCAGCAAAAAGATAGATATTATTTGAAAGTAAACACTGAGACAAAAAAATAAATATAAAAAAATTAAAGAAATATATATAGATGTTTGGATTATCCAAAAGAACATTGACTTATTCAAAATAAGAAATTATATCCTTTCGTAGGGATTAATTCATATTTTTATTTTCGCATTTATCCAAAGAAAACCTTTGAATCATTTAAAATCGTTTCCAGAAAATGGAAGAAAAAAGATTGCGGATTCACTTGTTTACTTTTCCTTGTTGAATTGATTTTTTTTGGGTAAAAAAAAAAATTGGTTGAGTTTTCACTAGATTTATTATAAAAACCACTGGAGCAAACTACATGGTTTTAGTATGATTAGATATTCAAGGCTATTCTTAAGTTATACAGGTACCAGTGACACGATATACTACTTCCAAGATTTAGTTGGAGATTAAATTTAGTTTTAAATATAATATCTCAATTTATCTTGTCTATCAAATTTATAATACTTTTTCTGAAATATCTTTATTGATTGTAATGGGTTCTTGGCAAGTGATAGCTTCAATAAACATAATTAAAGAGGATATTTGAGGAGAGCCAATACATATTTCTTATAATTAACCAACTTAACTAATTTTTTTAATATTTTGAAATTAGTTATCTAATTTTTATATTAAACACTGAAGATAGTAGATATAATGTCACATAATGATAATGTTACCTCCAATCTTTGATATAAGAGCTATTTGATTAATTTGAGTAGATTAAATAAATTTATTAAGTTGATTATTTGTAATAAATATGTGTTGTCTTCTCTAAATATACTCACTAATCACGTATATTAGCTATGGAACATTTTAAGATATATAACTATTACAGGGGCTATTTTAAAAAAATAGATAAATATGAGAGAGACAAAACGTACTAAACATTTAGAAAGATATCTTTTGCTTTTTGCATACAGTTAAATTAGAAATCTTATTGATTAAAAAAAACAGAGGAGAAGAAGGTTATATGTTAATTTTCTAGGTAAGTTTACAAGTCACATATCTTTTATCGGAATCAAAATAATCTTAAAAACTCATTAACGGAATATGAGATTAGGGATGCTTTGAAGATCTGTAAGGAAATTTAGAGATTTGGGCTTGAAGTGGATGCGTGGAGGATGGGGACTGTGGGGAGAAGATTGCGGGGGAAATCACGAAAAGAGGAAAGGTATCCTTGAAGATGCACGCCAAGTGTTTGGAAAAATGACCAAGTGAGATTCAATTGTAATAGACCAGAGGACAGATGAACTGATAATTCAAACAATTTGTGCTCAAGGGAGGACAGAAGAAGCAGCGTCCGCTTTGATTTTGATGGGTGAAAAGGGAAGAATTCTAAGTGGACTCCCTTTTGATGTATTGATCAAGGAGCCCAATGATGCACAGGGAAGATTGTTTGGTCATTCCGATTTGTTTGGTTACGCAATGAAGCGAGGTAGTGTTCAAGTAATCTCCGGTATGTAAATCCACTTGCTTGCTGTATCATTAAATTTGTTTAAGTAATATAGCATTTTGGATGCTACCAAATAAAAAGTCCTCTTTTGGCCAAAAAAAATAAATAAATAAAAAGTCCTCTTGCTCTCAAGAGACCTCATGCTTCTTTTATTGCCCTTAGCCTATAATCTTAGAGCCACACGTCCTTACTTGGTTGAACAATGAATAATAACAAGAAAAAATTTCCAAATTGCTTCATCTACAAGCCTTAAAATAATTGAAACATCTTTGAAATATTACAAAAAATCCAAGTATATATCTGATAGGAAGTTTTAGTTTTGCAGCAATTACAGGCAATCACTGATATAAAAATGTGTTGCAAATATTATGAAAATTGAGGTACCCGATCGAAAATCACATATTGAACTTAGCTATCCCTGTAAATCCCATAGTAAAGCAAATACCCTCTCCTAGATTCATCGAAGCCTTGAAATCCAACCTCAAGTTCACAGTGTCTCCAGCATTTTATGGGAGCATTATATCAGCACTCTTCCACCTTTGAATTTGTGGTCTCCACTATCTTACCATATTTAAACTGCAATATTTTCGAATATCCATTTAATTTATTGCTATTAAAATTAAGATACACCACTTAGTGACAGGACAAGCTAGGAATTCTCCAAATCAAATGTATATGTGAACATAATTGAGTAAAAGTTCAATGAAACATACCTTCAAGATGCTCATTGTCTTTGTGGATTGAGAGTAGAATGTTCTAGTCCAGGGTTTCGGCATCAGCCACAGCAAACTTACTAATAATTTGGTCAAAGTTCCACTGGTTGGTGATTGCTCTTCTCTGGCTTCTATTTTTAGATGCCTCAAATCATACAATGGAGATAAATAATGTAGCCGCATGTCCTGTCTTGGAAAGATCATATCCTTCAAAACATACCAAATCGAACAAAATGAACGTCAGATATCGAATAACTAAGAAGGGAATTATATATAATTTGATGAGCTCTATTTTGGGTTTGTGAACATAATTAATTACATACCTCAGATCTGAAGCAAGATAGAGAGACGTCTTTGAAGTGATCAAAGCAACTAAGGAATTCCTTTACTAAGAAAACATTTGATATACCATGTGGCAATGAGATGTTTGCATTGCATTTTGCTGATAAAATGAATATTGGGTAAATCCATAAACTTCCACTATAGCAGAAATGAAGTTCGGAACATCAACATCTACCTCCTTCAGGTTCAAACTCGCATTCAATGAGAACTTCTTAAGGCTGTAGTTTTCAAATTGCATCTTCTCCAACAGATTGCAACTGCATATTTCTAGCTCTTCCGAACAACACAAGCCTCGGATTGCCCGGTTCAACCACTCATCGGTTATTGTCGTTGCTCCGATCAGTTTCAAAACCCTGAGACCTTGGCAGTCTGAGATATCCAATGTACATTGTAGTGTCTTTAAAGCTTCATACATCAAACATTCAAGATTTGGAGTTGAGAGAACCAGGTTTTCTAGTTTATAATTACTCTTCATGTCCAATATTTTGATGTGAGGGTTATGAAGTCTCAAGTTCTTAGGCATGTCACATTGATCTAGGTTCAAAACCTCTACCTGTGGGACTACTTTATTATATATATTGTCGGTGAGAGACCTTGGTGACATGCAAATACCTCAAGGAATCACAAGTAGGAAGTTTAATGTTACATGGATGAAATCCACCATGATTTGTTCTGAAACCCTCAAACCTGAAACGTTGCAAACTTTTTCCATCCAATACGTAAAATGCTCTCAACCCGATACAGCATGTTACTTCAACTTGATTCAGTGTGAGGATGAAACATTTATAATGCGAAAACCATCACAGGAGTGAAATAGAAGTTTGGTTAATTTTGGGCAAGTTATGAGAGCATCAAACGATGGAATTTGTACCCCATTAAGTCTGAGTGCAGTCAAGAATTGTGAGGAAAATAGAGGACGAATGAATGATAATTCAAATTCCCAGTAATTTCATTCATGTCGTCCAGATGCTGGCCAATGATTCTCATGTCAAAATTGATCTCTTCGACATTGTTTTCCACGGCAAAGTTGAGCAACACATCAAACACTTTCCCATAATTTAAGAACTGTATTTGTGCATTTCGATGTCATATAAGCTTAACTTTGGAAAGAACCCCTTATATAAGGGCCACGAAGTT